AAAATACACCACAAAGGGTCAACGTGCACAGCCATGTATACATTACAATTGTGTGGCTGTGCCCCTGAAAACAATGCCCACAGTGCAATTCCCTTTCGGCAGTCAACATGCAGAACCTGCCACTTGGTCTTTCTCTAATTCTGTTTGTTTTCATATCAATACAGAGATCACTCCTTGTTTTCACATCATCCAGAATAAGTTATTACCCCAAATCTTTCCATCGGTTACATAAAATGGTTTATTGCATATACACAAGTAGAATATGCATAAAGAACATCCCCGACAACTGCAAACAGACATTCGCATCCACATTCCCTCTCCCAAATTTTGTTCATTACACTTGAATCTCTTATTATTAAAATGGTTTTGATTGTACTAACGGTACTGTTTCCTATTTGTTTTCAAATAGATCCAATATTTATTGCACATATTTTCTATAATTTTATAGTGTGAGTATATATGAAAGTAGTAAAATTTGATTGCCATATCTAACAGCCCACATGGAACATCAGATTTATATCCCATTAAACAAAATGCTGTGGGCTGTGTTTATGACTATCAGTTTGGGAATTAGATACATTCAGGTAGCCAGATGCTGTCTTTGAAAATGAATCACAGGAATAAATAAATGGAAATACTTGCTTCGATCAAATTAGGTGAAATTTGGTTTTTGCCACTGATGCCTCCTAGTTCATCTGATCTGTCTGGCCAAATTAAATAGCTATAGTTAATGAAACACATCCTGTCTGTCTGTATGTAAGCATTTCTAAAGCCCCTATATCACTGTGGCACTAAAAATGGTTTATAGAAAACAGAGAGGTTTGTCCTGAAGGGCCAGTCAATTCCCCCTTCTCTGCAGGTTGATCATGGGCTTCTCCCTTTCAGAGTGTTTCTGTTCTTATTTCTCTTCCTGTTCTGGGGGGAATACTTTGGGGAATCCTTTTAAACTACAGCTGGCAGATTTATATACTGAGAGCAGCTGCAGTTGCAAGTGCCAACATTGCTGCTTGAAAATAATTTCATCCTTTTGTATATTTTCTATTATACTTACATAATTGCGAAATGTGGATTCATGTCCAGGTATGAATTTTCCTGAGTTTGTGAGGGTTCAGATCTGGTGTTCAAGTCCCTCTGTGTTCTATGGTATGGTGATATATTATGGATGCACTTGTGATGACTCCATAATTAAGGCTGTGTTCAGTTTTCCAGTTTTAAAGTGGGGTTTAAATTCTCTTGTTGCACCTGAAAACATAGGCTGAGTATAATCCAAATGAAACCACTTAATAGCAGGCACCTACGGAGGCGCACAGCAGCAGAGCTCCTCTCAGTGTTTACAGGATATCTGGGGATATGTCTACACTGCAATTAAAAACCCACGGCTTGCCCATGCCAGCTGATGGGGGCTCACAGGGGTCGGGCTAAGGGCTGTTTAACTGCAATGTAGACATTTGGTCTCAGGCTTGAGCCTGAGCTTTAGGATCCCATGAGGTGGGAGGGTCCCAGGTTGCAGCCTGAGCCCAAATGTCTTCATTGCAGTTAAACAGCCGCTTATCCCAAGCCCTGTGAGCCCCAGTCAGCTGGCACAGGCCAGCCACCGGTGTCTAATTGCAGTGTGGACATGCCCTGTGGTATCAAGGCTTCACTCCTGCACTCCTCTAAAGGTATGTCTATGCTTCCAGATGGAGGCATAATTTCCAGCTTGAGGAGACATATCTGTGCTAGCTTTGGTCAATCTAGAGCACTAAAAATAGAAGCGTAGCCACAGCAGCACGAGTGGCAGCATAGGCTAGCCATCCCAAGTACATACCTAGTCTCTTGGCCTGGATCATAGACGGAGTGGCTAGCCCCTCCACTGCTCATTTCATTGAGACTACACTTCTATTTTTAGTGTACTAGTTTGATCAGAGCTAGCACAGGTATGTCTCCTCGAGCCAGAAATTATGCCCCCAGTTCAAAATGTAGACGTACCCTTAAGGGGTGAAATTCACCCCTGTGCACTAATTAGTCCCACTTACACTCTCCAAATAAGGGACTGAAGTGTTCATAAACCTCAGGTAGGCCTTCTGCACAGAAGTGAGTTTCACCTAAAGTGAGCAGTAGTACCATAATTTCTTTCCTGACATTGTCTGGGACAATAGTTAACTTTCCAAAGTCTGTAGTTGCTCTTGCAACTTGTAACTTGAGTGTGCACACTAATTGTTAGCACTTCTCTATTTCTGTTAAACCATGTATGATATGGAATGTTATTTCAGTTAGGTGGTTAATCTCCTTAAACGGTTAATTTCCTAACTTTTTACCTTTTTTTTTTTTAAAGTATAGTTATAGCAATCTTAGGCTAAGGTGTCCTTTCAGTTATACCAATGGAAATCCACTGAATTCAATGCAGTTACTTTGGATTTCTATTATTATAGCTGAGGATAGAATGTTGGGTGTCTTAAAGGTACACTCCTGAGATTAAATTCCAGGATTTTTATTTGGAAATAGGGGCCTATGGATACAGGTGTGTGAGCGTGCACACGCTCACACACCGCAACCTAAGTAAAGAAAAATGAGTGGAAAGTTTTTAGTCTGGAAGATACGATTGACCTCTTCTGTAAACTACAGAAAGAATGCTAGACTGAGAACTTGGATGCTTTGGGACCATCTGTTTCTTTTCCATCCAAATGTTTGTTTTAATTTATTTTACTGGGGAGGGAAATGAAGTTTATTTCTGTCTCATGATTAATGTAGGGCTCACCATAAAAGCAATAATCAGACCCTTGTACTCTGGGAACCATGCTTCTCTCAAATAGGGAAAGCCTATGAGATGCTTTATTAATGATTAGTCACCATGCATCACCAGACTTTCACTGTCATCACGTCACACAGGTCATTTCATTGCCATTTGTCATGCTGTTTAAAGTGTAGGGAGAAAGTATTGAACTGAACATTGTAGCTTGCTCTCCAGCCTGCAGTAGTTACAGTCGATGGCATACAGGAAAAAGAGCAATTCTTAAGCACCCATCTCCCATGTGTGTGCCTCAAGGAATGGGGCCCCAGGGTCTGATCTGGTAAAGCACTTAAACACATGCTTAACTTCAAGTATACAAAGAGTCCCGTTGAAGTTGAGCATGTGCTTAAGTGCTTTGCTGCTTTGGGTCCAGCACCTTGCAAGATTGAGCCCTTAGAGTCCAAACTGTACCTACAGTTAGAGAGGCCAGTCTTGATAAGGAAGATCTCAAAGTCAATGGTGAAACACACACACACACACACATATTTAAAGGGCTATTTTTGTGTCTCAAACTGGAATGAACTTGAACTGTAAATATTTGTGGTTTTGGCTGGGCTATTTTTAATGACAATTGCATTATTCAGTCTATAAGCCTCCTGTCCTCTTTGGGAGGAAGAATGGTGTTGGGGATGAGCCACAGCACTATTTGTCAAGTGACCTGCAATCAACTCCCACCTCTGCCTCATACTTCCTGTGAGACCATGGACAAGTCACTTAGCCTTTCTGTGCTTCAGTTTCCCTATCTTTTGTTTAAAGCTAATTACCTACCTCCTAGGAGTGTTGTGAGGCTTAAGTCATTAATATTTAAATGCACCTTGATGCCCTAAGGGGAACCACACTATGAAAGCACAAAGTATTGTGTTTTGAAATAGGGGTGGTTTTTTTGGTGGGCAGGGGGAGGCCATCCTGCTTCCCATCCTCTATTTTCCATCTAAAACTTTCTGATCAAGTCCTGTGCCAGTGGTGTCCCCTCCCAAGCCCCACCTTCTCCAGGCTCCTGAAGAAGAAATCAGTCCAACCTCAGATATCACACAAACTCAAAATAAAAATCTGATTCAGGGTGAGATCATGGCAAAAGAGACATCATTCCGAACGCCATACAGTATCTTTCCATCTCAGCAGTGCCAGCATTTGCAGTAGACTGAGTTTCCCAGCCCAAGAGAGAGAGAGAGAGAGAGAGAGAATCTAGCTTTAAAAATACCACCAGTAATCAAGAAAACTGAGCTCAGGTTCAAAGTTGAGCACAGATTAGCAGCCAAAGAGCAGCAAGTTCTTAATAGGCTCCATCTTTACTTCTTTCCACGTTTAGTGCACTATGATCCATTGTGTAGCACTAGCCGAGGTGGTTGAACAATGAGAAACGTTGTTTTCAGATACAATTATTTGATGATCAGTGGAAGAAAATACAGATAATACATTATTTGCATAATATTATCAGACCATCTATGAAGTTTGCTAACTTAAAAAGAGCCAGAATCAATTGGTTACATTATTTGCCAAAAAAATTAATTCAACCAGCGCTCTCAATTCTAGTGCAAAGGTGTCTTATTTCTAGTTACTGAGGCCCAGATCCTCAAGGTATTGAGGCGGCTAACTCCTGCCTAAAATATCTTTGCGGATCTGAATGTAAAGTCCTGCTCTTGCATCCCCTGAATTCAGCAGAAATAGGTTCAAGACCCAGTACAGGACAACTCTTTTTCAAGTGGCTTCGCTGTCTAACACAGCCCTTTTAGGGTATTATGTATTGGTTAATTGGTACAGTATGGGCATGAACTCTAAACTATCACCACCAGCCAGGAGGCACCATCTTGGCTAACCTGTGAGAACACTTATAGTGGTTGATTTGCAGGAAACATTAGAACTCAGAATAGCCACAGATTTGTCCCCTCCCATCACTACTATGTTACCTTGAGGTGAACAATTAACATATTAATTGCAAAAAGACCTGTCTTTCAACACATCCTGCCACTTTCAGTCTGAATAAAGCTCACTCTTCACACCACACTGTTCTGCTCGGTCCATTAAGCGAGGTACTGTTAAAGTAATCTCCTGAACTACTTTATTTAATCACTTTCAGTTAATAAGGAAAATTGAGCCAAAAGCTATTTCCCTGGTGCTGACTTGTAGTTCACCAACAAAACAGCTCCCTAAAGAGCAAGTATTGAGTTCATGCAGGAACATGCTAATCAATGGTGGATGAAGATTCCCTCATTATCTGTAATTAATTTAGGTTTTGCAGGCTGTTTTCTATGGGATCTCCTTCCTGGCTGATGTGTTGAGACTAATTAAGAAACTGCCAAGTGCTAAATACATAATTTCCTGCAGAGACCTTCTCTTCAGTGCCCTGGCTTTCCCTGTGGCCACGGTAAGTAACCAATGTCTATAATAATAATTATACATACACATGTACCAGATAGATACAGATATTACTAAGGAGCTTCATTTTGTCTTTTGAAAACAGAACACATCAATTTCAATGAAGAAACAATGCTTAAATCTAGCCCCAGATGTGAAGCTAGCTAGTGGTTTATTGTTGAACATGTTGCTCTGACATACACAGCGTCTACAAGCCCCCTCCCTAAACCCGCTACAACCCAGCCATAAGCAAACAGAGGTCCACCAAAATCAAAGGGCAGAAAGTAGACATTCTGCTACCCTTATACATAAGAGCCAATGAAATTACCTACTGAAATAGTTTCACCAAAAGGGCAACATGTGCCTTAAGTGTCTAGTAGGGTCCTTAAAAGGCAATAAATCCTCATATTGTCTTCCCTGACTGCAAAATGAGTTTAAACACACACAGAAGAGAAACAGACTTAAATGATATTACTTAGAATAATCGACAAAATATTCATTTTGGACTGTCTGGTCACATGTAGACAATTGTGTCCGCCAAATGATTTTGCAAGTAATGGGCCAGAGACTGAAATCACTCAGTCAGTACAACTCAGCTTGAGAGGGGCTTACAGAAGCTGGGCTCAGGAGAGGTGAAATTCATCTTTAACTGGGTCCACAAGCATTTCAGCCAGGTGAATCAAGAGAGGCCATTCCTGCAATTGAGACTAAGCCATCTCAGCTACTAGTCGTTCTTTGCATATCAGTTTCTTGTAACACTGTCGTCACATCTCCCATGCACACTTCTGCGTATGAAACAGAAAAGGGCTGAACACTAGGACGTATCTTTCTGTAAACTGCGTGCACTATATTTAGTACTCACAATCCTCCCCACCTCTCATGCCCTCGTTTCCATAATATGGACAACTTGTGCTCAAATGTAAAACCAGGCCAAGAAAGTACAAATGAGCTTTTGGATATCAGTAGCTGATACTGGGATTCATTTCTTACACTTAAATCCTCCCACTGTAAATCCTCCCCTATTGGATCAGATGGGCACAAGATACAGCCTACTCCTGTACCTACAGCTTAGGAATGAAGTTTACAGACTTTACCGGCATGCCAAGATTTAGACAATCAGTCTTGCTACTATCTGCTTTTACTTTGTTACTGAGCAGAACAAATCCTTTGGCATGATGGACCATCCAAGATCCCACTGGCAGAATAAGAAGGGTTCAAGGATAGTCATGTGTTCCCTGGAAATTTCAGAGTCAGCAGTTTATACAGTAGAGGAGGGGTTTCTTATAGACATATGCCCCAGAATACTGAGAAAGGCAAGGTGAGTCTGACATGGCATTAACAACAGCAGAACACCGCAACTTGCAGTAATTTCCCTTCTTTACTTTGTAATTTGTGTGATACATCAGTTGTTTTATCTCGCAAGCTCACATTTTTCCTACAGCCTGCTTTGCCTTTTACAACAAAAATTCTTTTGTTGCAGTTTGTGTTTATGTCCTTTTGGGTATTGTATACGTACAACCGAGAACTGGTTTACCCCAAGAGCCTGGATGGGATGATTCCAAGGTGGTTAAATCATGCTATGGTGAGTAAAAAGCCGGACTAGCGCCTAGAACACACAGACTTTTGCAATGAATGTTCCACTGTTGCATTATTTATCTTTCCAAAAGGGTTTCACAACTCCCCCCACCGCTGTCTATTTAAAGCACACATTGAGCTGAATGTAATGAACGGATGCACGCGCTATAGTTGCCTAAAGAAGCTTTTTAGCACAGGGCAGGTCAGTGAATCATGGCATGTCAAGCCTCTTAAAAATCAATGAAAAGATGTGTAACCATACAAAGAAAACCTTCTAGGTTAGTGCAGTTCAAAAACGAAATTGTCTCCATAAACAGAATGTTATGAAATACAAACTGGTTAGGAATACAGCGGAGCACTTGGTAATTTTTAAAAGAGGTGAAAGAATCAAAGTAAATCTGACAGCTCAACAGCTCATAAGGTAATGTGTGCACAGCACTGAATAGCAGAATTGAAATGATTGTTTATAGATTTCTATAAATATATTCCAGATCTCTCCTTCAATTGACAAAGCTGTTTTTATGATGTGTTGAATAATCACATACTTCTCATCAGTCAAGTGTAAGGATGCTGACAGTAACATGGAAACCATGGGTGGTTATAAGGTCATGGCAGCCTCCTGAGGCTAAGGGAGGCAGGAAGGGGAGAGGTTCAATGCTAGACATGAATCAGAAGAGCCAAAAAGTATGAAATAATCATGCAGACGTCCCAGCCTTGTTTCTCTCAAGATTCCAGTTTTTTAAGATTTTTCCAACTCAATAACTTTGCAAGACACTGCAATTCCTGATGCCTTTGAAGCTAAATGGAACTTCCCAGATATTTCTGACTGAGAACTTTTGTTAGATTTTTTTTAAACATCCACTTTATAAATGTATATTTACAAATACTTATGCTTGTACAGCATGAACATATATGCCACTTTCCCATGAGTGATATCCATGTGATAAACTGAGTGATAAATGGAAGCCATGATGCACTTTTGACCCTATCACCTGCTCTCTGCCTACTAATCCAGCTTCACTGGGACTACTTCAACATTCCAAACCACTGAACAGATGCAAAACAGCCACTGTTTTTTTTAAAGCTATTAGTCACAGAAAATTATTCCTTTTCTTCTCAAAATTACATTGGTCTCAGGTTCAGGATTCTGGGCCAGCAATAGGGCTAACTATTATCTTGTTCAGTGCTAGATTTTGAATTTATTTTTTTTAAAATCTCAATGCACAGCTGGGAATTTGTCCTTCCCAACAGGCCAACTTTTTGTAATGGCCTAGGAAGATTGAGAGACACTGGGGCTTCCAAGTGTGACATTATTACAGATGGAAAAACTATTTGCAGCAGTCTCTAAAATGTATTTGTTATAATTTCTCTCTCCTTCCCAGGCCTGTATAGATGTACAAACAGTACTAAGGGAGCCTAGCTTTACAACTGGAGGGGTACAAAAAATAGTAAGAGTGAAATGTTTTCAAGTTCTCCGAGATATCTACATTTCCCTCCTTCTGTAAACATTCAGCATATACAGAATACCTGACAATTTGATGTGGTATCAAGATTTTATTCATATGATTTTGGGATGATCTGTGTAACTCAAATCCGCATAATCAAATGGGATGACTTGCCTCACCCTCTGGAAATAGCATGCTGGGAAACCTGTTTACAGCATCCCAGACTCAGTTTAAAAATGATCCCATCCTGTAAGCGTAGAGGGAATAGAACTGCAATTTAACTACCGTTCCCAAATCATGCTACATTCAGGGGCATGTTTAGGTCCCACCTACATTACAAGATAGAACCATGTTTTCACTTCGTCAAGGCAGAACTGCACTGACCCTGGTTGCTGAGTCTGCAATAAATGTCATCTTCTAATTCATCTATGACAAGCTTCCTCTCGCTTCTCATTTAAGGAGTTCCTGAAAACGCATGTATTTTGGGAAGCATTCCAGCCACTGCACAATGATCAACCAACCTCTCAGTGACTGACTGCAAACCAGCTGCCTGTAATGAAATGTAATAGGCCATGCTCACCTTACAGCACTATATACATGATTAATGCTACTAGCAGTTCTGCCAACTTGTGGGAAGGGCGTGGGGGAAGTTTCCTTCCAGTAATTGTAGAATCCAAGATGTCTACTAGAAGTGAATTAAGAGTTCTGAAAAGATCATTGGCACTGACGTGGCATGGGGAGAGCCTACGCGAGCATTATAAATGCTATCATAACGAAAATAAGGCTTTTAAGGCTTCAGAAATAGCCAACGGCATTTCTTCCTTTTGATCCAAGATGTCCACTGTAAATACCATGGGGATCTGGGGAGCTGCCAGATATTTAAAGGGACAGCACACTAAATGTCAATTGTCAGGGAAAAGATTTAATGAGGGTGTTTCCTCTTCCCCATGAACTCTGCTATATTTCACAGCTCTGAGGTTAGCAAAAGTTCATATCATCTCGTGGCTATGGGGGAAAAGCTGTTAGTTTTGTTAGGTGGCTGTGTGTTTTGGGTATATCAGTTATATATATAAGGGATATATCATTTACAGCCTGAGTGTTTTTAAATCAGTAGAACAGTCTCAGAGGCCCAAATCCACAAAGGGATAGAGAAGAGATAGGTGCCTAAGAATGAGATCCACAAAAGCCAGAACACTAGGCAGGGAGCCACCTAAACAAGGCAACCAATGTTCCCTCTAATTTTTTCTGTCCATGTGTGGAATATATTTTGTTATGTGCAGCAAGGTATGTGCAGATGTGCACCACCAGTAAAAACAAAAAACCTAGATATAATATATATATTTTTAAAAGTTAAATGGGGATAATTACTCCAACCAGGGCAGGTTAGGCATTTTAGAACTCACTACTCGAGGAATTAAATTTAAGTGTAAGAGAAATAAAAATTATGGCATGCATAGACCAGGCAAAACACTAAAATAACACACTTTGAAAGAATAAAATTACAGAGAATATATGTGCATTGCAGGAAGTACCAAGAAGTAACAACAACAATAATACAAATATGTGTTGGGAGGTGACTATCACACAGAGGCAGTGTGTGTTTGATACAGTGTATGTGTGTGTGTGTGATACAGAGACAGTGTTTGTGTGTGCGTATATGAAACATTATGTGTGTGACAGAGTGACAGAGACAGTATGTATGACACAGACTGTGTGTTGCAGAGTGTGACAGAGACAGTGTAACACAGACAGTGTGTGTGAGACAGTGTGTGTGACACCGTGTGTGTGTGAGCGAGAGACAGACACACACACAACATGTGTGCTGGCTGCTGGGAAAGTTTCTGAGAGACACCCTGCACGCTCTCTTTAAGACACTCACTGAAAGCTCTCCTACTCTGTCCTGAGCCCTGTTGTCTCCCCGCCCCCGCTCTGCGGAGATGGGGTAGGTGGGTAGCGGAAGAGAGAGAGACTGACTGTGTGAGCTGGTTGCTGGGGAAATCTCAGACAACAGGGCACTGTCTCTTTAAGAAAGGCACTCAGCCACTCACCCTTCCCGGCAGCTCTGAGTCCTGAGCCAAGCTGTGGCCCCTCTGCCCTGCGGAGACAGGGTACAGGGGCTGGGGGGACAGGGGGATGCCCGGACATCAGCCCCCTCCCCCACTGCACAGCCAGCAGGATGGTCCCGAGAGCAGCTGCAGGACGGAGCAACGGTGGGGGACGGGCACCTGAACACATGCTGCCCAGCTGGGTGTGTTATCCTGATCAGCTGGGCAGCCCTTGACTCTCTCCTGCAGGGCTGCTCCAGTGCGCAGCTTACAGGGAACACAGATTAGGCAATGGAAGATGACAACAAGAGAAATGTAAACTAAGCCCCACCCCTCTCACAGAGTTAGGTGCCTAAATCCAGGCTGCAGAGAGGCACTTAGTTCTGCTTGTGATTCACAACCAGGAACCTATTTCCTGGAATCAGGTGGCCTAGGTGCCTCAGTCATTTCTTGTGAAAAATGCATTTGGCGCTTGCCTTACTCCACACAAAATGGCTGGAGAAGAAGGTGCTCACCTTATAACTTTTAGCCCAGTTATTACAGCACTCCCTTGGGGTGTGGAAATGCAGGTTCAATTCCCCCTCCGGCAGAGAGGGAAACAGGATTTGAAGAGGGGTCTCCCACCTCTTAGGAGAGGGGTGTAATCACTGAGCTGTGGGATATTCTGATGTTGGGCTCCTTCAGTCTCTCCTGTTGAAGCTGTTCCATTGTGGATTGCTACTTACAGAGTCACTGGAGCAGAGAGAAAGAGAATAACTCCATTGCCTAGTATTTCAGGCACCCAACCTGGGAGGTGGGAGACAGAGTCCAGTCCAGTCCTCCCTGCTCTAATGACTCTTTTAGGTATTTATAGCAGGGGACTAGACCCTGGGGATTTACTCATGTAAAACTGGGACTAAGTACCAATGGATCTTTAGGGATCTAAGTACCAATCTAAGTACCAATGAGGATCTGATTCAGAGATCTCCCTAACTATATGAATAGGACAAGCGTTATGTTATGTAACTAAACAAACAGTTTGTCTAGGTCATACAAGAAACATGCACAAACACTCTGGGAACACAAAGCTTCTTGAGCTGGCAACCAAGCTTTCTCTTTCTTGTGACAATCAACCAACCAACCAACCCTGTATATTTTCCCTGATACTGGTACATCAAAGGGTTTTCACTTTGCGTAACTAGCCACAGAATGTCTAAATGGGGGCTTTTGCTGCTTGTCACGTGAATTTAGTCTTCTGCTGGAACAAGCTCATGCTGAATAGTTACTAAAGGAGAAAAGGAGCAGGTGGGAAGAAGTACCCCTCTCCTTTTTGTAGCAATCTGAGCAATGCATACAGGCAATGTTGAGACTTTGCTCGAACATTCAAATGGTTACAACTAGCAATGTACCAAGGGTATTATGTTTTAGTCATGGTTTTGCAATGACCTAAGTGGAAAATTTTCATTTTGAGACGGGAAGAATGGTTGGAAATCAAATTCTATTTTGAGGATTTAGTGAGGCCCAGTGGAGAAGGTGCT